GGGGGGGGGGAGAAACAGAGCCGGGTGGAACAACCTCTGCACATGCCCAGGAAAGGGGAGAGAAGGTAGCGCTGCTAGTTTCAGAGGACCCCTGCGTCCTTCTGCCATTTCTGTGAAACAGCGGCCGGTAGGAAGAGCCTTGCCAGGCCACAGGTGGAAGTGGGAGGGAGGGAGGGGTACCTTCCCGGCCTCCCGGCATGGCTCCTTCTGTTCCTTTTCCTCTTGAACAGCACAGGGGAGTCACACCGCAAGGGCCAGGAGGGGTCGGAAGCATTCCGTGGAAAGCATTGCTCGGAAGGAGAGGCCGCCGGGAGTTTCCTCTCGACGACTCTGGCCCAACGTTTGGGGATTGTTTTGTCTCTTTCCCCTGTTGAAGAGGATTTTTGCTTGCTTTATGGCGATTCGTGGAGCTCTGCAGGCCTCTCCTTACGGGTGGCGTTTGCATGGCCTCCAGGGCCGACAGTTGCCCCTTTGTGGCACTCAAGGGGACCACATCAAGCTAGAGTCGGGACACTTTGCTCCTCTGTTATTCTTGCCTCAAGGGGGGAGAGGAGGACTGCCCCCCCTTTGTTGTGTTGACTGGTCATCACTCCCTGTTCCAGCAGGTGCTTATCTTGGCAGTGAAATGTGGGCGCTGTGCTTATCTGGAGAGTAACCATGCGGGCATAAGCACAAGGTCCCAGCTGCCCTGTGTTGACGCAGGATCAGTGCCTAAAGAGCTTGGTTGGCAGCAGGCACGGGGATGGTGGCCACATCAGCAGCGGAGGTGTCAGTGGGTTTGTGCTCCCTGGAGGGAGCCGCACTGTGTAGATTATTTGTGTTGTGGAGGTTGGGCTTTTTCATCTATGCAGGTGTTTTCTGCACGCACGCGCACACGTTACTGCTGCTCTGAATCGCTGGATCTCAGCTCTGGAAGTGGGGGGGGATGTACCATTGGCACCTGTTGGCTCTTGCAGAACCACTGAACAGGGATGGGAGTGAAATGAGGCTAAGAGTCTGGCGGAGGGGTGGGGGAGAGTCCACCTGGAGGAGCAGGGTCTAGGTTATCGGCCTCTTTTGAACAGGTAGATCATTTGCATCTGGGGGAACGAGGCTCTCTCTTGCTGCCAGATGCTGGGGCTGGCTAACTTTCCCCCTCGAACCGTATGTGCCCTTGCATAGTCCCCCTTAATGTGGGGCAGGAGCTGAGGAGTGGGCAGGGGTCCCATGAGGTCATGCTTGGGCCTGTTTTGTATCTCCCACCTCCTAGGTGGAGCACCGTGGTCGTCGTCGTCGGGAGGGCAAGCAGAAGCATACGTCCAACTGCCTGTGTCTTGCCTGTGGGAGAGCCCCTCTCTTTTGCTCCCCCCCCCATGCATAACATTTCATCCTGGCTTCCCTTGTTCAGCTTTCTTTTAGGTTAAATAGCGTAGAGGTGGCCACAGGTGAGAGTGGACAGGAAGAAGGGCAAGTAGGAAAGGAGAAGGCAGTGGTACTTCCACCCTCTTTGTGCACCCTGTGCTAGATAAACTCTCTCCAAGACAGTGGAGCCCTCGAAGGGGAAAAGGCTCCCCACACCAGCCTAGAGACTGTCCTTGGGGGGCGAGGGTCAGGTAGGGACAGTGGCTGCTGGGTCGGTCCTTCAGGTGAGGGAGAGAGGCTGTTTGTGCCATCTCAGCAGAGACCAATTGGCCTGTAAACCCCCCACCACCCACTTCCATCTCTTAACAACCACGAGGTTATTTAAGGTGCTCCTGTTCACTTCTGGGAGATGATATTTCTTCCGGGGGGTTATTTCTTTAAAGATTAGGGATTTAGATTAGAGTCGCCTTAGAATCTCAGCTGAGGAGGTGCTTGGGGAGATGGAGGAATAAGAAGGGGCCAGCTGTTGGGCAGAGGAAGGGGAAGGGAGAAGCACTTGGGTCAGAGATTCCCTCCCTGCCACCGCGCCCTCCCCACCGCCCCCAGGATTCTACCTGCCACCAGAGAACAGAGCCCCCACTCCTGGGATGGGCAGGGAAATATGCTGCTGGAACCCAGTGTGGACTTTATTGAGGCTTTTTGGTCTCTCCCACTTAGGTCATTGGAGATTATTACCTCTTCTCCCACCGGGCAGTGGCGAAGCGCTCTCTCTCACCCCACCGTTCCTGGCACACCGCCTTGAAGAGGGAGCCGCAGGTGAGTGCAGGCGATCCCTACCCGCTATCCCCTTCAGCTGCCTGTGTGTGTGGGGGGGGGGAAAGGGGTTCCCAGGAGGTCCAAAATGGAGTTGCTGTTGTCTTTGGGTGGCCGGACAGGTGAGGACCTGAGTGCCCGTCTGGTCGGGCTGGGTTGATCCAAACTGCCTGATGCCTCAGGTTTCAAACACCTTTCGAGGAGGGCCCCGTTGGAGGGTCCTGCAATGGGCAGCCCCTGCCTCAGGAAAGGTTTTACTTGACTTTCTATGTCGCAGATGGTTCTGCCGTCTGTTCTGGCAGGCGTGAGGCTGCTTCTGAACCACTTTGTCTCGTTTTGGAGGCTGGAGGAAGAGGTCCCAGGGACTCCCCAGCTCTTGGGCCTAGTTTTCTGCCCACAAAGAGCCTGGCTTTCAGGATATCTGTATTCACGGTCGTCTTGCCCTCTTGCGAAGACGTTCCTGGGAACCCCTGTGCCAGCTGCTGTAGGCCAGGGCCCCTCTGAGCTGTGCCCTCTGCCACACTGCCCTGAGCCAGAGTCCTGGAGCCCCATGCTTCTCTTTGTGCTTTTAATGGCTTTTAATTCTATTGACTCTTAATATTTTGTGTCCTAACATTCTAGTCATTGGTGTTTTTATTTGTATCTCTTTTCCCAACCTGTTTTGAGACAGGAAAGAAAGACACAATAGAAATATATTGTGTGCTGTGGGGCAGGCCTTCTGCTAATAACAGCCTGTTGTGGGGTTTGGAGTGGCTGAGCAGCTGTGGAACTGTAGGAAGCTGGGCCCATCCTGACCTAGACTCATGGAGGCCTGACTGGCCGGTTCCCACCTCAGCCTGCCCCTTCTCCTGCCAATTCCTCAGCTGGCCCAGCCTGACCTTTGACTGGGCTCTGGGGTCTAAACCTTGAGGGAAGGAGGCTGGCAACCTTCCATCCTGTGTCTCCATCTCTCTTTCTTTCTCTCTCTCCTCTCCCCGTTGCTGCCTCAGGTGCACTGGCTGGAACAGCAGGTGGCAAAACGCAGGACAAAACGGGATGTATTTCTGGAGCCCACAGATCCTAAATTCCCTCAACAGTGGTACCTGGTAAGTACTTTAAAAAAGAAAAAGCCCCCCCCCCGGTGTGCTCTGTCTTGAGGGCACGATGCCACTGTTGAGGGTGTGTGTGTGTGTGTGCCCTGGTGTGACTGCTTGTTGGCTGCTAATCCCTTCTGGCTGAGTTAATCACTTCTGCCTTGGGGATTAGGGTGAGCTGCCAAGCACAATTTCCCCCTTGCTTGAGCTTGCAAAGCAGCAGTGCTGCAGCCGTTCTTGTGCCTTTGACCTGTGTGGGGAGCCTGGGGGGGGGTTCAGCCCCTGCCTGGCAGTTCTGCCCTACCTTAGGAAGACTGAAGCCTTCTTGAGGACAGCAGGCCTTCCACCAGACATTACTGGGGCACAAAGAGAGCTGGAGTTTCCTTACTCTCAATCTCCACGTTTTTGGAGTCGTAATAGCCAGATGAATCCACTGTAAGGTAAAATGAAATACATTGGCTAGAATCCTGTTGGCAATGTAACATTTGCATGACAAGAATTGTCTTAAGACACGGGGAGAAATTGCAGCTCATTAACGAGATGTTGGCTGCATTCTTGGGCACGTGTGTGCCTGGGAAACACAACCAGTACCCTGTAAATGAGTGGCAGTTTGCCCCGAGGCTTATGTAATTTCCCTTACATGGGTGTAAAGTGCCGATAGGATTCTGGCCACCCTATATTTCAACCAGTTGGAAATGATAGCAAAGTATCCATACAGGAAGTATACTGGCAATACTTTAGGTGTTAAGAACTCCCCAAATCATGAACAGACAGGGAATTTGGCAACAAAATACAGCATCTGTAGAATGGATCGCCTGCATTCTGCCCCAGCTGGAAGAAGGGAGGCAGGGCAAAAGAGGCAGTGGTTGCCTAAAGGAGCTCCAGAAGGCTCGTTCTCGCCTGTTTAAAAACACAGGGAAGGAGGGAAGTTGAATTGTCTGGTTTCAGACCACAGCATCCGGACCTCTAGAGCCCTTGTGGGCATTTCTGCTGTCTTGGCTTCTCTAGTCCTGTGATAGTTGGGGAGAGGCTTGAAAACGCCATCCTTGTCTTCCCTTCATTCTTGAATAATAAGCTACTCAGCAGGCAAGAATGCAGACATAGTGATTTACACCTGTAGAAGCTGCCTGGTTCCAGATTTGGTTGGTACTTTGGTAGTGTCAGGGAAGTGGAAATTGGTCATGGAGAGCTAGGAAAATAGTAATTAAGATATATTTTTGTAGCGGATTGTTGAGAGGCTGTTTCAAGAGGGCACTCCGATTGCTGCAGATTGAACAGAGAAGCATATAAGTGTAATGTAATGGGGAATACTTATGCCATAAACATTTATGTTCTGTTGCAAAAAATTGATTGGTGGTTAACAGTAAAATAAAGTAAAACAAATATGTTGGTAATACCATTATTTTATTCTGGAGAAGTTGACTTGTAACTGGGTGCCTTATAGGCTCAAAGAGGAAAAAGTTGCATTTGATTTGAATATCTTGATGAGGTCAGCAAATTGTGGCTGGCTGGCTAGTAGCCAGATGCTATATCTTCTAGCCACTGTCGAGCGCGGTCCTGACACAGTACTCCCAAAAACAGAAATGAGATTGGTTTGGAAATCAGGCTTTTTAATGCAAAACTACATTAATAAAGTTGTATTCAGACATTTATTTTGGTGGGGTCCTTTTTTTTGCGACATAGGAAGTAATGTTCATTATTAGGAACACTTTAGCATGGAACACTTTCTTCTCTACTACAAAATGAAAACAGCATTATCTTTGGATCAAATATTAGAAGTTTACATTTTAAAACAGAACAAAAATAAACAACTCGTGGAAAACCTATTATGCCAGTTTTCTAAGATGCTCAGAAAAACAATGTACTTCAGTCGATTTAGCGTCCTGTCTAAGTGTGTTTCTTATGGGCTATTCAACCTAAAGCTTATGCGTGTTCTCGGAAGTCAGTGTATAATTTCAGACTTTGCACATGGATTTCAGACTTTGCACTGATATGTCAATACTGTTAACAACTGGCGCAAACTTGATGGTGAAATTTGTGTTTTTACAACAGTGGTGGATGAAAGGATGGGGCAAAAATAGATCTTTAGGGAATGGTTTGGGATGAAATAAATAGTTTCAAGGCGGCACTCCTACTTCGTGTGGCTCATTTTGGGATTAGTTTGGAGCAGCCTGCGGCGGCAGCGTACAGCATGTACCGGTAGTAGATAACCTGCAATTTACCCAGTGGACCACAATATTTGTCCTTGTACTGCTCTTAATTCAAGGAGTCAATTCAAGGAGTTTATACTCTTTAAAGAAGAGCAGAAAGTAACTGGAAGCTTTCTCTCCCACCCCTGAGTGTACAAACATAACCCTGTGTGATGGAGCCATGTGGGTGAGAGGAATGATAAGACAGGAAATGGAGTTTTGGTTTTTTTGCCACCAGTGAAGTTGAATTAAATTACAGTGGAGTATGCTGCTGTTGGATTTCAGTGAACACTTTGCACTCTGAACCAAGCAAAGAAAAGCTTGCAAATGGGGCCTCATTGCTGCAAACATTCATGCTCCATCTCTTCCCCTGTTGCAGACCTAATTTATCCGTTTTGGAAACCATTGAAACCGCAGGCACAGAAAGTTGTACTTGCCCAGTGATTCTACCATGATTTCATGACACTCGTGGAAAACTGTGTTTGGAATCACGGTTTAAGTATGGCTTTTAAGAGGGCAGTTTTTAACATGCAGTGGCTGGATGTCAAACTTCATGCAGATGTCCTTCGATGGCTTTCACCAGCTGTTGGACTGCAAACAGAAAGATCATTGAAAAAGTGTGCCAGGAAACTTTTGAACCATGTAAGTGGAGACACATGGACTGTTGCATCAGAAGAACCTGAAAATTAAATGGCATCAACGGTTGATTGCAACATGTTTTGATTTAAAACCAAGTACAAGTTGAAGTAGTAAAGGTGTGAAGGAGGAAGAGAGAGCCTCTAAAGAACACATTCAGAAAGGTGAAGAGTGCAAAGGACCAGATGCCAGAAAAACTAATATGGGTTGCTTATATAATCAAAATATTATACGGTGGCAGACCTCATTCTGTTATCCTACTGAATGGTCTCAAACAAATAACCCCACAGTTTCATCCTGGAGAAACAAAGTAATATGTGCTGTCATTTTTGACGTGGCACCATAATTTGACCTTTTACTGAAACAACAGAAACAGTGCCAAATATTTATTTGTTTTGATAATCCTCTGAACAAGGTGATTCAAGAGTGAGATGGACTGAGCCATTCATTTTGGTGACGAATACTGCCAGTGAGTTTCCATGGCGGTGCCTGACCAATGGCTTTCTTCAGATGAGTGCTGCTGAAGACTTTCAGTTCAAGAATGTCTTTTTCACCACTTGGAAAATTACTGCAAGGCTTCTATTAGAAGGTCAAATGTAAATATTCTCTTTGTGGGGGTGGGGGGAGAAAGAAAAGCAACACTAACTGCAGAGGGAAGGAAAAGGAACTGAGAAGACCATGTAGTCTTTGGGACCATATGGGTACATGAAGGTCTTTTAAAACAGAATTATATATGATGTGAAATGCAACCTGAATTCCATCTGATGAAAGACATTCCCCTAGATCAGTGGTTCCTAACCTTTTTGAAAGAAACGCCCCCTTGAGCCATTGAGGAAATTATCATCGCCCCCCTTTTATTTCCTATTATATCTTGTTTGTTTGTTTGTTTATTTGTTTTGATAATCCTCTGAACAAGGTGATTCAAGAGTGAGATGGACTGAGCCATTCATTTTGGTGACGAATACTGCCAGTGAGTTTCCATGGCGGTGCCTGACCAATGGCTTTCTTCAGATGAGTGCTGCTGAAGACTTTCAGTTCAAGAATGTCTTTTTCACCACTTGGAAAATTACTGCAAGGCTTCTATTAGAAGGTCAAATGTAAATATTCTCTTTGTGGGGGTGGGGGGAGAAAGAAAAGCAACACTAACTGCAGAGGGAAGGAAAAGGAACTGAGAAGACCATGTAGTCTTTGGGACCATATGGGTACATGAAGGTCTTTTAAAACAGAATTATATATGATGTGAAATGCAACCTGAATTCCATCTGATGAAAGACATTCCCCTAGATAGATAGGCATTATACACTGCTATGCCTGGAAGCATACAATTTGCTCAGGAGTTTTGCCATCCTTGGTCATTGTAGAATGTTGCGTGTATTTTTAGAGCTGGCACACTATTTTACAATGCCAAAAAGCATGTTGAAGAAGCAAATTTCCAAAAAATGTTAAAGTTGCATAAAAGTTGCCAGGCAAGATCCACTCATTAAATCCCAAATGGCTTGCACGAAGACAATGGCTGGAAGTTGGGAGGCGTTTCTGCAAAGTTTTCAAAGCCAGAAACGAATGGCTTCACGGATTAATCAGGAAGTTAATGAGTCATTGCATAAAATCAGAACCGTTGCAGACATTGTCATCTGGATCCCATTTGTTAACAGTGGAATTGTCTGAGAGCTTGATAGAAAGAAGATCAAATTTGGCTGCGTAGCGGAGGTCATAAACTAGCGTAAGTGAGCATGAAGTGGCTAAATTTTTTCCTAAAAAGTTGCTGCAGTTGCTGAAAAATTGATTGAGAGAAGGCCTTTGATATTCAATATATTTCTTGGATTATCACCAGTGCCTTTGTTGTCTTTAACACACAACCCTAGAACCACAAGAATGGGGACTTCTATATGAATGAGATCCAGCTGGTGTTATAACAGCCACAGCAAACATGTTTTACACTCTTTAAACCTGTAGCTGCCCACAGTGAATGCAAGCTCAGATTCAACTGTATGTGGCAAACAAGATAATGAAGTGAGATAGGACACATTTTTCTTCTGAGACCTATGATGTATTGTAAAATGTGCCTCATCCTGTCTCGCGTACAAAGTTCAGGTGAAAGGCATCAATAAGCTGATGTTAACAGGGAATTTGAATGAAGAAGCTGTCACCTCTCAACATCTGGTTTGCAATGCCATCCTACATTTGGGA